TGATTACCTACATGCATTATTGCCTACAGATCGATTGTATAAAAGCACGTTTGCACAATATAAAATTAAGATTAAGTTAAGTAAGAAAATAATTTATATTTTTAAAGCAGAGAATAGTACATGTAAGCAATGATATTAAACTGTAGACAATAAATTTTGCACAAATGAACTGTCGGCAAAAGTGATATAAACAAACAGTGTAAATAGGCAAACAAGATCCTCCCATTAAGGTCTCAGATTTGTTTGCAGCCCATATCTTTTCAGATGATACATTTGAAACTATTTACTATTTCTACTATTTGTACTCTTTGTAAAATGTTTTATCATTTATAATCCTCGTGTCCTATTTGTACTATTTGTAGCCCTCAAGAGAATTGTATCTCTCAAGGGCTACCTTGAGGACGCTTACTACAATATTTCTATCCTACTATGCTTAACCTACACTCATTGTCAGATGTACCATTATAGCGAGACCTCCGTCTTATGTCTCTCTCTTTCTTCTCCTTATCCTCCTTCTTTCTTGTGTTACTGTCTTTCGTTGTTTTGCACAGAGACGAAAGAATTTTATTGTCGCACATAATCGTAAATTATTTTAACAGGATTAAAAATCCGCGACGTAGCACATCGTCCGGCGCGTCGTTTCTTGGGAACGCGATATCGGATTATCTTCGGAATTGAAGAAAACTCTTCGCGGATCCTTAGCACGCCGCACGCACATTCGGTTTGTGCATGCAAATGCGGATGATTGCAACTATGTAAGTAAACCTTGCATACTACACTTAGAATACTCAGTAGAAATATGCAACGTGAAATTCGATTTGTATGAGTAATTCGTGAAATCTTTTGATAAAAGTTTAATAAAACACCGATATCGATATAGCGGGAAAAATTCGATTGATATTCATAGCGATGTCAAATTCTCATGAGAATCACTTAGCTTTTTAATATTAAAATCAAATACCGTTAACTAATAGTACTAACGTATTTTTGCCGATAGAATAAATTATATTTTCCATCGGTAATGTGTAATAGAGTAAATATATCTTTTTCTTTCCAAGAAAGTCAGATCAACTGCAAGATGTAGTAATAGATAGTTCTACATTTATTTTGTTAAATATAATATTTTTTGAGACCGCAATGTGAAAATACAATAAATCAGAAATAAAGGTCAAGTAGTTGGATCTTTAATATTTAAATAATTCCATGTGAATTTATATATTACTTATCTAATCTTGCAAACTGCATCAAATTTAATTTTCAGTCTTGAAACGCAATTCTAACAGAATTAAAAGTAGTAATATCATAAATTAAATTTACAAATAAATGTTTTATTTTATTTAATTCTTCGATCAAATTTAAAAATATATCTTAGTCATCATATATATAAATGCTATATAATAATCACTCTGTTCTTTTTCTCTTCTCAATTAATATTTAGAATTCTACCAATTGCTACTATTCTGTCTTAAAAACAAATTATCTCTTGCTTTTAAGCATCAATTTAAATTTTTAAAGATAAAAATTAAACATAAATTATAGTGATGCGCGCGAGTTTTAAGGTCACTTAACAAACACTAACTGAAAGTAACATAACATCAATGTTATAATTTCACTTAACATACGTATTATTTTATATTTATATTATGGAGTGTAAAATTATAACATTGATTATACTTTCGAAACTTCCACGGGTATTTTCTTCAAGGAAATTACGCGAATTATCTTTTTGTCTTAATACATCATGCCAACATTTCATAAACATTACTCATCGGGACGAATGGGCTGATATTATGATATTAACGTTATGTTACTTTTAATTGTTACACTGAAAACAATTTTTTTTATATTTGTGGCTATAATTACTATAATTATGGTTATTGCTATAATTTTAGTAATAACTATATATGTACAGTTTTATCAATATGTATCTATAATACGAAAATGACTATAATTAGTTATTGTTATCAAAATGGTTACAATAACTATAATTTAACTATAAATTTACTTTAAATTTAATTTTTTTATAATATATCATCAGAGAGAGAGAAAGAGAGAGAGAGAGAGAGAGAATTAAGTATAATAATAACTAGCTAAAAGTTAAAATAAAGTCAAAAGTTAAAAAAAGTTGATAACTTTTAACTTAACTTAGTTAATTTTAAATACATTAATTATTAATTTAATTTAGTTACTTTATTTTATTAACTTTTGTAAATTAACATTTTTTAATCTTTTTTTAAGTCAATATTTTTTTCTATAAGATTTTGAACTTAAAATTAGAGAATTAATTTAGAAAAAGCTAATTTAGAAAAGCAATGATTTTGTAATTAGAAATCCTATAATAAAAGTCACATTATACAATATTGTATTTCAGCAACATAAATATAAAATAAGCAACATAAATATAAAATAGATGAAAAATTGTTTTAAACAGTGCTGCACATTCAATCATTTTCTAAATTTTTACATATACTTTTTGTAACAAATATCTAGTCCATGTAATCATAAATATACGTGAATAATGTAAGAGAGAATTTCAGAAGAGATTAGGTTAAAGAAAGAGAGATAATGCAAATATATACTCGTCTCTCTTGCAAAATTTGACAAAAATATCTTACGAGACATGATTCTCATTATAAGTAATTTATATAAATTTACGTGAACAAAAAAATTAAATTTACTCAATAATCTCTATTGTACAATAATTGTTATTTAAAATAAGTCTTATTTTAGAAAAAATAGGACATTCTGATCTCAAAAATAATTTTTTCAAAATTAACATTCTTTTTTTAAACTTAAATTAATTCAATCTTAACTTTTATTAAGTTAATTTTTTTCCCTTCAACTTTTAACTTAATTTTATTAATTTTATAAGCCATTGACTTTAACTTATAAATTTGGTTTAAAAAAAACTGTTTAAAAAAATTAACTTAACCCTAATAATTATACATATAACATATATTATATAATATACTATAGCTATATTATGTATATCTGATACACCCGACAGCTCGCATAAAGATACATATCATCAGTTTTGCGATGTCACTATTTCTACGATGTCGCTGCACGTGCTCTTATTGTTAATGCAAGATACCCGTGTCCATACAGCACAGAACATTGAAAGAATATTGCTGAGATGTTGCAACGTTGAATGTGAAGTGTCAAGTGTTAGTTTTATCAATGTTGTATTTATATCGATTTTTCTACATTGATTATTAATGTTGCTGCAACGTTGAAACGACATTGAATAAATTAAATGTCGAAATCTATTTCATTTTGTAAAAAAATGAATAAAAATAAAATGTCATATAAGTAGAAAATTTAAATCACTTAAATTGATCTTTTAACGAAACTCATTTCTAAATGATATATGTTTATGTGGGAATCGGCAGAATGCTAGTGCGTGTGGTATTGTTTGTGTTTGACCAGTCCGCACGATGTCAATTCTTGCTGCATAGATATCTATATGTTACAGTTATACATCCACTAACATTCAATATTCGTGGATCATCGAAGCAGCAATTCCCGTACGATTACAAAGGTTTAGCAACGTTGGATGGGGTACAAGATTGGATGGGGTAACTGCTTAGGTAAATAAGGAAATTAATTCCCAAATGAGAGAAGAAAAGCGTTTTTTTCAATTATAATTTTGTCGTGTGTGTTCCAGAATATGATGTTAATCACAATAATACTTATTTTAATAGTAAAACTAAATTAATTAATATGCGAAAAATTTTTTATGTCTCACAGACATTGTAATTTGACATTAAACGTTTTTGCAACGTCTCTTCAATATTGAATCTACATTTCGCGATGTTGCAATGTTGCAATTCAACGTTTCTGAGATATTAATTCAATGTTAACATGTTGTATGGGAGAGGGGAGATGTCTTGATAGTACAAATTACAGTATAGTAATAAATTAAATTATAAAATCTAATTAAATAGTAATTGTGATCGTTTTTATAGTAACAAAAACTAATTATTTTCAGTTACTATATTTTATTGATATAACTATACACATAACATTACTATTTTGCAGTAATAATTATAATTACGGTATGATTATAATCATAAATACCAAAAAATTTTCTATCAGTATATGTATATTTACGGGTAGTAACTTACTTTTATAACATTCACGAATCTTGATTGAATAATTCAAGTATGCTCTAACTTTCACGTATATTTTGTATTTTTTTTTTATAATTCTGGACAATTGAAAATAAAGCAATTTCTGTAATATTGAAACTCGGATAAAACTGATTCATCTCATGAGTTCTGAATACGAAGAATAAATTGTGTAGTTAAAATAAAATCAATAATTGTATAAATAGTAATGTGACGTCCTTTTTTTAATTAAAAAAAATCTATTAAATAAAGAACAATACAAGGTATAGTATCACAAAAATATTATCTTTGTTATTAAATCAAAAGAATGCGTTCGACCCATACTTAGTCTTCATATTTTAAATTATAAACTAAAAAGCTACAATACAAATTTCTAAAACTCAACATATACATATAATGAAAAAGTGCGAATAAAATAATAGTGCAAATAAAATGAAACCAATAATGATAATAAGAAGTCATAATGTCAAAATGTCAAACACTTAAATATACAATAAAAAAATAAAGAGCAAACACAATATCAGTGAATTACGTCGATATTTTTTATTCATTACATTATTTTTTTATTACAAAAAAATGTATTAAAGAATTTTTAATTAGTGTTCAAAATCAGTGTTCGTTATATGATGCAATTAATTGATTCTATTTCTCTCTCTCTCTCTCTCTCTCTCTCTCTCTCTCTCTCTCTCTCTCTTTCTGTAATTTAATTTATTCTCATTCGAAAATCAATTAGTTTGGATCAACCTTTACAGCCCTTGACGATAATGAATTTTACAGCTATTACCGATCCGATTGGATAATTACGAAAGTTATCCGTTCTGGTTTTCGCAGTTTTTCACGTTTGCCTCTCAGAGTTACTTACAAGATGACTATGTCCAGATTAGTCCGCAGAGTATAAGCGATCCGTCAGCCCGCAGCGAGAAGCACCCGTGGGGCACGTCTCGCTTTCACTCAGCCGGTCTCGCGCGTGGGCCACGTGCATTGGAGAACTGAATACGGCGGATGTACATCGAGTACATACGGTACGATGCACCGAACTGATCTGTCTGAAAAGAGGAAGAAGGAGGGCCCGGAGCAGGTTTCACATACGCAATCACTGATTGCGAGCCGATAGCAGTTACACGATCGCGAGATCGCGTCTCGTTAAATCGGTATCGCTCATCCACGATCGAGACTCCCTGGTGTCACGGCACTCCTCGAGCTTGGCACCCAAGTACAACCTACCTTGTCCTCGTCGTGACTCGCCGATGACGCAACGCATAAATACACGCCACGGGGAATCGAACCGGTAACTTCTAGTTCTACCTCTGCTGCCGCTACAGCATCTTCTTCTTCTTCTTCTTCTTCTTCTTCTCCTCCCCTTCTTCTTCTTCTTTTTCTTCTCTGAGGAAAGCAGTCTTTGAAAAGCGGTGGTTCCGGAGGCAGCTCCTTGATCGGTACGGCTCCGAGATCGTTATCGTGAGAAGTGGATGAATCTCGGGCTGCCAGGTCTCGTGGCGATCGAGTCGAGAAGGTGGAGGTAATACAGCATGGAGAAGGAGGAAGGAGAAACACAGCAAGCAGATCTTAGAGACGCCGTCGAGTCCTGGCCGTCAGACCCGCTTTATCCTCCGATCGACTTGGAGGACTCCTCGCGAGGACCAAATCGCTGCTAAATCTTTCCGGTACGCCTTCGGAACTCCCGACTCGCGAGATGCGGCGGCTGTCGATATTGATCGGTATGATCGCGATCGCGAGAGCTGGACCGTACGACAGGACAGCAGACTCGGTGAATGACAGGACTCTGTTCATTAGGAGTCTGCCGGGATATCCTGGGACTAGGAGTGATCTTTACGAGGTCTATATGGAACCGTATTATTTCGTACGTACTTATATTTTTGTCTTTTTTTATTATTGTATATATGATGAATTTTTATTGCATTATATTTGACAGATATTCAAAGATTCTCGCATTTTCTTTTTGTGCAATAATTTTATTTAATTCTGACAAAATTTATTATATTTTTATATATAATAATTACTTATAAAATTAGAAATTGATATTAATTATTGTCCATTAATTATCAAAATCATAAATTATTTTTTTATTATTATAATGAATTTTTATGACATTATTTCTATGACACTTCTTTTTCTTACGTTATATTTGATTATAATTATTCAGAAACTACCACGTTTTTTAAATTTTATATAAAATGATTCTTGATTATTGTGATATGATTTTTTTTAAGGCATTATATTACAATTATTTAGAAACTTATATTTTTTTAAATTTTATATACAACTTTATTTGATTTGTGATATCATTTTCATATAATTACTAATAAAATTGAAAATTGATATTAATCGTTATTGCATTATAAATCATCAATTTAATGATATATCAGTATTTAACATAATTTAATTATTCAAATATTGGATTTGGAGAATTATATTGTGTCATATTATTGAAAAATTATATGGTGAAAATTATAAAGAAATATTAAATCTAAATTATATTACATGATTGCAACCTTTGTAAAGAGCACGACACACTGATCCGGTTAGGATTAATTCAATGCATACACTTGGAAATAAAAAAAGAACTTATTATATAATTGAGCCGAGATGATCCGAAGAAAAAACGAAATGTTTATATTTTTTGTTTAATTCAAAATAGATTCAATGTGTGCCTTATTAACGGCATTTAACTTTCATTTGCTTTAGAAACTTTTAGCTTAATTAATCTTTAATTTCAAGAATTCTTAGATTGATGTATTGTTGAAATATTTTCGGTTTTCACATCTCCACTTTTGAGAAAAAATTTTAAGTGATCAATCTCACGAATTCTTTACAATCATACTTCACTTTAAAAGTATGACTGTAAAGAATTTTCTGATTTTTAATTAGATAATTGCTAACCAACGATCGATCGACCTTTTCATTTTACATTTCACATCTTACACGGATCTTATCGACCTGAAATCAATTATATAATCTTGTTAAACTTGTGTGAAAACATTTAATGAACATCCCTTCACTTTTCTCTTAAACTTCAACGGAGCTATTCCTCATGTCGCTATTTGTTCAACTTTAATTTCCCTTGATCAACTCAACATGTTATTTTGTTGCTCGATATAAGATTACTGTTGTATCTCAATGCTTGCGGTAATTGGTATCGTCATATTTATAGCCTTACGTGCAAATAACAGCCGTTACGAACATTTCCGTCGAACGTTATTGAAGTAGCAATCATCTGTCATTCGGCGTTACTAGCAAGACGATGAAACGAGAATTATGTAGAACGTAATAATTTACTATTCATATGGATACAGCATGAAGAAAAAAATGAGTTACATTAATTCATTTTTATTCATATGAATATTTTATAACAAAAATTTACATCGAGTAATACTTATTTACATATTATTTTATTATTATATGTTTGTTTATATACACTTGATAAAAATCTTACACTGAGAAAAAATGTTTAGCTATAATTGCTATAATTTAAAATTTATGACTATAATTATACGGTAAAATAATTATAATTATGACCTTCATTTTTACATAATTATTGCTATAATATTAGTAATAATTTTATATTTATAATTCCCTCAACCATAAAAAAATTATACTGTAAATATGTATTTTTAAATGTTAATATGATAAAATATCAAAATGTGGATAGTAAATAAAATAAGCATTTTTATATAATAAAAATAAACGCAATTGCAATTATAATGAATATAATTATTTTCTTAACATTTACTTATTATTTATGATAATAATAAAAAATATTAAAGAAAAAATAAAGAAATATATAATATGGTTCAAGTAATATAAAATTAAAAGAAATAATATTGAAAAGGACTACGAGCCAAATATAATAAATTCATTAATATGATATAGGTATAATATTAACATAAAAGTTACAAATGAAAAGCGCTACAAAAACAAATATTTCGACTCTGATCGGGTCATTATCAATGTTAAACATATAATCAATTAGATACAAACGTAATAAAAATTCTTAATGGTTGATTATATAAACATAACACAAACTTATATTTGATGTAATAAAATGATGGTATAAAATTCATCAAATGATATTGATAGAATTATTGATATCCAAATGGTCCCTTTGGTTAAAAAATATCAAATTGTTCAACCATTGAAGTCGCAAATATTACCATTATAATCAGTTCTTATATTAAAATTGTTATAGAGAAATGTCGTGGATAAAAGAAACATTAAATCTGTTGACACAGAAAAATAATAGAGATATTAAATCTGTTAATATGCGGAGAAATAATAGAAACAGTAAGAACAAAAATAAATAATACAAAAAGTAAGGATTAATTTAAATAGTATATAAAAATAATGTAAAATTATTGTATTTGACTTGTAACCCTTTTCGATGTTATATGAAATTAAAAAACATTATAAGAATAATTATATAAGAATAATTATATAAGAATAAAGAAATAATTATTCTCTTAATATAACACACACATGAAAGCGTATCATAGTAAAATCATAATTATGACACAATTAAAACAATTATAACTTGTATGATTAAAATAAATGTAAATATATAGTTGGCATCAAAAATGACTATAAATTATGATAATTGTAACTCTTTTTCTTTCAGTGCAAACGACTTTCTCATTTCTAGAAAAAATTCGTAAATTTCGAAAATATCGCTTATTTGCTACAAGGACATAACTCAAAAGTTATAATTTTTGCAAAACAAAAAACTGAAAAAAACCTACTTTTATTCCTCTACAATCAGTTATCAAAATTATAATCACAAAGTTTTAATCAAAATGTTTCAAACTTATTTTCTGAAAAGCTTTTTTTATTTTTTGTTGCTACTGTAGTAAATAATATATATGAGGAAATATATTTTTCAAAGAAAATATGCAAATTCATTCGTTTTATTCTCGTTTAGTATCAAAAAGATGTGTATGAATTGTCTTAAACGACGCAGCATCGCTCTCTTTCTTCGTGTGCACCTCGGATAAACATTTCCACGCGCGTGACTTCTTCATCCTCCGCGACGAACGTGGCGATACAATTCATCGGCCTGTCCATCGGCGCGACTCTGTTATTAGTCATTAACTACACAGTCTATCTTTAATAGGTGGAAATTTGCATAATTAGCCATTAAGTTATTTAAACATCGCGAAGGACGTCGACTGATGCGCATCGTTATGCCACGAGGACGCTTTCACTATATGAGCGGTCGCTCTTCGCCTATGCCCCTTGCAATTCTAACGAAGCAGCGATTCACTACGGCCGACCTTGCGCACAGTTTCTAACCGTTTCATCGTCGCCACAGATTATACCCCCAGTCGCATTGGTAATTGCGGATTTTATCCATGAACCACAACCTCGCTTATACGAAAAAAAAGTAGAAAAAACCAGATAAACTTGACGTCCGTCGACGAATCGCGAGGTAGGTAAATCAAGGTGTACGCAAGAGTGGCGCAATTCTAATGCGAGGTTTAGTAGGTAGAACAAATTAGATAGGAAGCACACCGTTCCCTTCTCCCGAATGCACTACATAGTGCATCACTCGTACGCGATACTCGCGGACGCGTCATTATCAATTTCCGGTCTTCGCGTTCTCCCGCGGGACTCCGCTTGCGCGGCAGCATTTATGAATTAATCGAGCTATAATCGAGCAGTAACAAATTGCTTCCGTAGATACTCGGTTGCGTAGATTTTCGTTCTACTTCTCGCCAATCTATGGATTTTTGATCGAAAAATTTATCAAAATATTTACAATTTTTTTATTTAGAACTCTCAATTTTTTGTTGAGTAAAATCTCCAAAAGTATGAAATACTGTCACTATATTAAAAAAAAAAGAGTGAAAATCTGACATTTTTATTTAAGAATGCAAATATTTTCACTCGTTTTCAATAGTGACAGTATTTTCATCATTTTTAAATAGATTTCACTTCAAAAAAATTAGAAAGGACATTGTAATGATCCTTGTAATGATCCTTATAATTATCACTCTTTTACTTCAAAAGTGACACAATTTAAAAACACGATATTCGAGTTATTACCATAAATGGATTTAATAATCATTATCCTATCAATCATCGAAAATAGATTAACTTCATTAAAAAATTATCACAACACGAAAAGGATGATTTAAATTTAAGGTATCATCATACCTCAAAAAGATTTAAAGGATTATGAAAATGACATTTAATTATTATTAATATATTTTTTATTAATAGTATGTTTTATACTAATTATTTGATATTATTAGTCATTAATTTTTTGTCAAATTAAAAAATAGATTTTTTCGTTTTCTAGAAAATTTATGTGATCTTTTTAATAATGTTTTTAAAATATAAAGAAGTAATGTATGAGATATCATGTCACATGAAATAAGTTGATATTTGTAAACATAAAGAATAGGAAGAATAAAATATTTTTTAATAGAGGACATTTGCGATCAGTTTTATTTATCTACATATTATCAAAATAAATACGATTGAACATATTCGTATTATTTAATAAATGTTTATATAAATGTCAAATATTGCCAATCTTAAAATACGTACATATCTCAAGTAGTAAGATGTCGCCTATTTAACGTCATTAATTAGTTATTCTTATGACAAATGTGACATTTAAAATGACGTCCAAACGTCGTAAAAATGATGTGGAGTTGTCAAGTACATAACATCATAAGTCTACGTCAAAAATACGTCATTTTTCGTGTTATTGAGCAAGATGTCGTCCATTTGATGTCATTAATTAGTTATTATTATGACAAAGCTGTACAGTTCCTAAGACGAAGTGAAAATTACAAAAATGATCAAATTTGCTAAGTGTTGAAGTTATAAATATTCTAGTAAATTTAATTACTTTTGTAATTTCCACTTCATTTTAAGAACCATAATACGCTCCTTGACGTCTAAAAAGGTGAGGTGAATTCTTATATTTCTTTTCACTTACATAACGTCATAAACTGACATCAAAGATACATCATTATTTTCGTGTTATTAACGGAATAAATGTATGACGTTATTAATTGATTACTAATAATATTACTAGTACGTCGACAATTAGCCATTTATTCGACATTAAGTATGACATTGTAAAGACATTATAAATGAATGATGTCATTAATTGGTTAAGAAGATAATGTCATTATTATATCTTAAATAGGTCACATGATGTCAATAATTTAAAATAACTAATTATCGAATCGTCAAAATAACTAATTATCGAAACGTCAAAATAACGATCGCTTGTTATCTGGGGTATTTTCAAAATTCTTAATAGTACGTGTACAGTGTATGGATTTTTTACTAAATGACGTTAAATATTTTATTTCTCCTATTTCCTATATGCGTTTAAAAATAATTAGTTTCAGCAGCTTCCCATGGGACATTCTGTATTAGACAAATGTGCTATTTATCTAACTTTCGAAATGCTACTCTCTTTTATAGTATATTTTGTTTTATTTCAACTAAAATAATTACTTGTATTGATCTTTCCTGCCAATAAATATTGACATCTGAAAAAATTATGATTCTTGTTTTTTAATTTGTAGGCAGTCGGTTTGAAAGCTGTAGTGGAAATGAAATCTCTCGGTGAAGATGGTTCGCCGGTGGATGGACCCCGAGGGATGCTGACATTGGAGCAGCATCCTGAGGGGGTCAGGGTCACAGGCACGATCACGGAATTAAATCCGGGCTTGCACGGATTCCATGTACACGAAAAAGGAGATTTGAGGAAAGGTTGCAATTCGGCTGGTCCGCATTTCAATCCGTACATGGTAATAATGTTTTTGCAATTCTAAATTATGCACATCTAGAATTGCCATCCGTCCTTTTTTTGCCGGACGCTCTCTTTTACTCGTCCTCTTTTTCTAAGGTGTCCAGGAGTGTCCACGGAGATTTTCTAAAGGCGTCTAGGATAATTATAAGCGATAATTATTTGGGACACCTTTGGAAAATTTTTCCGAACGTCCCCGGACACTATTATAAAAAGATGATATCTGCCGTTTCGGGAAAAAAGAGGATGGATAGGACAACTTATTCATCATAATTAGTTTATGGTAAATTAATAAGCATTTCTTCATAAGTGTGGAGATTTGTTGGGAGGGGAGGGAGGATTAGAAGGGAATTAGAGTTTTGAACGTCAGGGGAAGGAAGCTCAAGTAGTATAGATTACTTGTTTTGCTTTATATTATTGTTTTTAATTAATTATTAAATTTTTAATAAATTACAAAATCATGTATACGCTCAGGCGTTCCTTTTTCGTTATGTAAAAGAATTATATTGGAACAAAAGTTCATAGCGATACGAACTTCAAGCAGCCGTAACTTCGTTAAAAATGAATGAAATTTAAATTAAAAAAAAGTTTAATATTTTATTTTCGAAAGATTATTATGTCTTATTTTGAGTTTCTGCGAGTTTGGTAATTTTTACATATAGAAAACTATGAGTTGAACAAAATGGAAAATTGTCTTTTCATTTCCGTTACATGTAACAGAAGCAAATTTCAAGCAGATACATTAAAAATATTTAATGTTATCGATGAAAATAAAGTTATAAGTAATATAAATTTAACATTTACTTACATTAAATTCCAAATCTACATAAAATTTAATAAAACATGTATTACACTTCGTAAAATTTTATGAAAAGTACATTAAATTTCATGTACATGTATACAAATATGTTGTACTTTTCAATTGCAGATACATTAAATTTAATTTAGTGTCATAAAATTAAATTAAATTTATGTAACTTAAAAGTACATTAAATTTCATGACATTTTCAACAGTGTAATGTGACATGATACAAATGAAGTAACACTACGAACTTTTTCTATTCAATATAATACATATATAATGCATATATACAATATGCATTTTATGTTACACATCGTTCCTGCGTCTCTCTCGTATCAGTTGTTCTATAAAAATTATAAATTTATAAATATCAAAGATTCACGTTAATAAAGCAGATGATCAAATTATACTTCTATCGTAGGATCATAAAAAAATTTATTCAAACTCTTTCCAATTACCACTTTCGCAAAAATCTAAGTTAATTGGACAGCATTTGCATGTAGAAGTGAGTGTTTTATGAAGCGAGTGATTGATTTTTCTAAATCTCTGAGACCGATTCAAAAGTCGAGGAAGTTAAATTTTCAGATTAATTCCAGGAGAAACCGGATTACCGTTGTTGCGTTGAATCGAAACTCTCCGAATGCAAATGCGATGCGATTAGCACAAATTGATAGCCTCACGCTTCGCGGATTGAACCGTCGCGATTTCCTCCGCGCGATAACACACACTCTCTCTCCATTTTACGTTACGGTAAACGAAGAGTGATTGCGTTTCAGGTGAATCACGGAGCACCGAGTGATCCGTTACGTCACGTCGGCGATCTCGGCAATATTGAGGTCGGAGAGGACGGAGTGGCGCATATCGACGGCATGGATCACTACTTGAGCCTAGTGGGCGTTCGGGGTGCGATCGGCAGAGCTCTGGTGATCCACGCGAAACCAGACGACCTCGGCCGCGGTGGAACCGAAGAGAGTCTGAAGACCGGATCGTCAGGCGAGCGCGTTGCCTGCGGCGTTATCGGATTCTTGTAAAAGGATTTCGATGAACAGCGAATTCGGCTATTGCATGCACTAAATACGCACTGAAAACTGCCGTACTTAATTCACTTAAAAAGATACTGCAAGTAGTATGCAAAATCTTTGGTATACACAAGCAGATTTTGGTGAAGGAAACGATATAATTCTTTGCTAAGGATAAAATATTTGTTCTATCATAATTCAATCAGAATATTGTTATATATTTCTTTATAATTTTGTATATTTTTACTCTATTCTAAATATTGATACTTTGATATTTTTTCATAACTATATTCCGAGTCTCGACGTCTTTGTTGAAATTAAAATAATTTAAAAAGGAATAATTATTTTAAATATTTATTACATACTGTTTATTCATTTGTTATGAAAATAGCATTAAAATTAAGCTGGTTTTAAACTGGATATATACGTAAAATAAAATATGATTATTATGAGTTATTCACATAATATAACTGTTATAATATAATTAATTTTATTCAGTTGAAGTAATTATGTGTGATATATATCTCTCGAGAGACGTTATAGATAAATTTGTGTACACAGTCTGCAGATTGTGCGCACTAGTGCATCCACCCAAATCCGCTAAAAGAGATGTTGCGTATCGCAACTTCATTCACTAATTTAATTGCGCTCATTTGTACCGATCAATAAATCACAAATGTATAAATAAAACACCTATTCAATGCATTTTACATACACCTTTATGTAATCTCTCTAAATTACAAAAATAAGATGAATAATTTTAATAAGAAAGATTGATGACAGCTAAGCTAATTTCCTTTTTAATTTTGTTTTAGTTTATGCATCTAATAAACACTAAAATAATAGTAAAATAAAGTATATTTATTGTGTGATAATTATACATTAAATAACAACAATAGTCATGATGATATAATAATATTTTATACACGTATGAAAAGACTTTTCTAGAAACATTTTTGATAAATTACGATCGAATGTTTTTCGCCGCAAAAATTTCCACGAAATAGTCTACAAAAATGAAGCTGTTTTTTTTTTACATCAATACAATCAACGGTCAATCAGAAATTTAACGAAATTTCAATGCGAAGAATTCATTCAATTCGGAAATTGGACCGAGTTTGTCGTAACAAGATTTTATTAATAGCTTCCGCCGTTGATACATTTTTCGGTGAAGTAAATACAACAATATGCAACATATAGCCAGACAAATACACAATCGCATATGAAAAACGCAATGAATGATTCTTGATAAGAAATCTAAACTGCAAAGTTTCCGAATCTTTCAAGTATCGTATGCAGTTTATTTCTACACGCGCATATAATATTATTACAATTAAGACTTACACGTCTGTATAAGAGAAAGGAAGAAAAAGATAAAACCACAAGAACGAACGTCGAATATTCTATGGACGAAAATCGTTCGCTTCTTCTGAGAGTCCGCACGTACGAGAGTCCCGAGTGGCTGATGTACCAAGAACTCTGGACTCCACAGGGTAGAAGTTCATCGAAACTGCGAAGTGGCGAATCTGTTAGCTCATCCTCGTCGACGATGTTCCCGAATGCAGCAGGTACCCAAGGGACTTCGACGAAGACTCGCGCATCTTTTCCACCGTCGACGGTCCCACGGGCTCGCCCATCTCTTCGAGAGCTTGCAGCACCTTGGTCACCACTTCCGGCGGCGAGGTCCTCCTCGCTCCCGGCGCGTCCGGTCGATGCTGGAGATCGTCCTGGCGCGGTTGCCTTGGTAGCGCGAACGTTTGCGGCTGAAATTGCACTGCAAGGACGTTGAACCGTCCGTTTGAGCACTTTATGTCTCGTCATAAAGCTACCCCCGGATCCGCGATATCGATCGTTTCCGCCCTGATTTACGCCGCCAAGAACCGAGAGCGAACCAAAATAATAAAATCAACGATGATTTTTATTGCCAAGATCAATCCCACCCGCGATTTCTCGTTCTCTATTATAATGCCAGCATTGCCAGCATTTCACAAACCGCGACATGTCGATAGTATATCTTCGGCTTAATTTATCTTTTGAGATATACTGTGAGATCGATTACAATTATTGCTACTTTATTTTTTTTTAATTGCTTTTTATTGATCAATTTTATAGCGAATTCGGTTGGACGCACTAGTACATATTAAAACCATTGATTTAATCAGAGTGTAAAAGTAAAATGCAAATATTTGAAATTATGAAATACATACTTTATCTAATAGTACAATAAAGTGTATTAAAAATTTCACGGTTTAACTGGTTTTTGTATTTATATTAAACACACATTTTTACGTCAATCTGTATATACGACGACTTCGATATGCACCAGTGCATACTGAGAACATCCAATCGAATTTGCTATCAAGTATAATGCAAAATTTGATTCATATCATATTTTATATAATATTTTAGGATATAATAAGATTAGATTAGATCAAATAATATTTTTAATCTAATAGGATTAGAATTGATTAATCAGATATATTTAACTCTCCTGTTGACATCAAAATCTGCAACACGATTATTAATGTTAGATCTGTAAGATCCATTTAATTTGTGTTAAATTATAAAAGTTAATTAATTTTAAGAAACCAAAATGACATAACTCGTATTGAGAAGAATGAATGTTAAATATATTTTAATCAAAATAATCCAATTGTAAATCTAAGAAAAATTGAATTTCATACTTCTGATGAATAAATTTATATAAGATCTATTTTCTGTGGTTGAATTAGTAGATATACGTTTTTGGAACTTAAAGTAAAACAAATATATTTGATATTTAATCAAAACGAGAAAAAAGTTCTAGTGCAGAGTCTAATGCAAGAACGAAAAATAGATTTATAATTAAATAGGTCAATAGATCTACTGTAATTGACCCTCCGAAAGATTAAAAATATTTCAATAATACCATAATTTAAACTTTCTAAATTTTTTTCTCAGTTTGGGTCAAATTCATTTGACAGCATATTGACTCATCTCAATAGATTCTGTTATAGAATCAATAGATTCAGTTGTCTTGTAAGAAATCCAATAACTAATAAATAATAATTTTTTACGTATATACATTTAGAACTAAATTTGTATAAACAATTTGTATGAATCACATCAATATAAATTGTATAAATCGCATTAAAAATTATATAAAAATTTAATGATCACTTTGCGGTCACTAATTATTTTTACTTATACAAATATAAATAGACAAAATAAGAGCTCTTCTCACTGATTAAACTGAATATTTTTAAATAAATGCATTTCTCATAACAACGGAGATGATTCTCCGCGGCAACAGAGGCAATTATCGCTACATTACTAGGAACATCCAGGACGTCGTAATCCGAAATGTCATCTAAATCATCCGCATCGAAGTTACTGCGACCGCATCTAATGACAAATTGTAAGCAGTTGATGATCAGCCTTTTTGATGACCTCCACATAATCATGTGCGAACATTTTTGGACGGGATCGTCGCGAGTAACGACGTGCGAATTACATTGTCACGAGTCGTGGGGTTTCGTGTAACGTAAATATTGACAGAAGTGGTTAGACAAATATACGAGTGTACGTTGAAGTTCGTTAACGCGGACATAACAAAAGCGAACTTGGTTTGATACGCAAAATGACATTTAAATCTAAAAACTGATGAAAACTGCTTTTAACCATACTGTTTTATTCAGAAAATCCTCAATATATTTAAATTACAGAGAAATCTTATATCATTCTAGTTATATCGAATAGTAATTTTATCGTAGATATATTGATTTAAATCTATTGTCTTTGAGTTTTACAATGGTATCGCACGGGTGGTGTACATACGCTCTGGCGCAAATGAAATAAATGTAATTTGTACTAGCATGATATCTTTGTAATTATAAATTGTAACTCCTTTTAGAAAAATTTGTAATGAAATTTAAATTAATATTAGATTATTCAAATTAATAGAATTAACAAATAAGGAGTTTACATTACGTAAAATGAATTATATTACAATGAAAATTATGGCTAATTATATAGCACGCATAAATGTAATGGTCAAAAATCAATTTTACAAATTTTCTATATTTTTTTACAAGCATATCAAGATAATAAAATTGAATACAAGATTAAAATATCGGAATGCTTGTATGTTCTACATTTAAATCTGTTAAAAATGGATGTCCACGTTATCTTGAAATTTATTATAGAGCTATATCAAGAAAACTATCTATGCTTCGCATAGATTCGTTTTTATAAAAATTAGCAGAATAATGATTCTTTTCACAAAGATAGAAAATGTGTATGTTGAAAATACATGTGAAGAATATGTTGAATGTTATTATCGCCTGCCTCTCCCTCTACCTCGTCCACCCCTGCCACCTCTACCGCCCCTGGCGCCGCGTCCTCTACCACGGGCAGCACCTACAAATAAATAGTATAATTAATATAACTAAAGAAAACTTTATTATATAACTGTAATGATTGCAAAAAAGTATAAAAAAGAAAATATCTCTTATCAGTTAAAGTTAAAAGTATAAATATAGGATTAATACTTGTTGGATTATCCCTTTCAGCACTGAATTACAAGTACTTTTAACAAATGGATTGTGGAATATTTTACTATTTGTAACTTCCTTTAACATTGGATATTTCTGTTTATTATTAAAACTAGACACACAAATATATGCCTAGACACATAAACATACCTCTTGCAGCTTCTTTCTTCTTAGCTTTAGCCTTTGGTGTATCATCAATTAGTAATGTTTCTAATGGTAATGAATCAGGCAAAATATAATATCTTATATTATTTCCCCGTAAACTAAGGGTTTCCAGTTGTATTGGTTCACGATTTTTTATTGTCATTTTTACTGTTTTTAAATGTGTGTTCATGGCAACATCAACACCTGCAGCAAAATAATTTATCAATAATAAATGACATTAGATCACATATGAATATATAGTGTTGAAATTTAGTTGCACATTTCAGCCGATTTTCAATTTGATTCTTGTCCCTTATGCAACCCGCGCGCAGCTTAAATGGCAATGGGCAAGAACTAAACTAAAAATCAGCAGAAATATGTAACTAAATCCCAGTTCTGAAATATATATTAGGTGTTGGAATTAATTCGTAGCGTTTTACAAGTGATGGGAAGTACTTTCATTAATGTATTTTTTAATGCTCATGTGAAATAAATAACATTCTTTCATTTAAAAACGCTACGAATTAATTCCAACACCTAATAATTAATAAAAATTTCAATTGGATGCACTGACACATATTAAAGCTGTAATATATTGATTTAATTTGAATGTAAAAGTGAAATGCAATTATTTTAAATTAGAAAATATATACTTTATCTAAAAGCACAATAAAATGTATTGATAATTTCATGGTTTAACTGGTTTTTGTATTCATATTAAATGCACATCTTTACATTTAATTTATATACAATGACATTAGTACACCAATACATCTATTCACTGTAAGAAATGAAAAGGTTTAAAATAATTTATAATTAATAATAATACACATGGAATGGAAATAATTAGTTACTTGTCACATCGTTACTTTCCTTATCCTTACTCCGTTATAATAATAATGACAGTAACAATTTTTTTTTATTATCCTTTTTTTTATTATCCTTTTTTATTATCCTACTGAAAAGAATCATGTCACAAAATTACATAACAAAATCATATAATTAAGATAAGTAAATCACATAATGGATTATTCCAAATCAATACGTGACTTTTTAAAATTACAATTTAAAAAATCACATATTAGAAATAATTTCGTCCATCATGTGATTTTGTAGTTATTGAATTTTAAAGAATTAAATGATAGAAATAGAAAAAAAAGAACATATGATTTTTTAAATTACTATTTATTTTAGAAAATCACGTACTAATTTAGAATTATCCATTACATGATTTACTTGTCTTAATTACATGATTTCATAATGTAATTGTGTGACATGATTTTTTTTTTCACTAGAACTACAATAGTAACATAGGGCTTGGAAGATCATTCAGTCATTCAGTATTTGAAACGAGTTGAAAAAGTCATTCATTATTGAAAAAGTTAACCTAGCATTTGTAAATCATTACTTTTTGTAAGTTGTAATTGGTAACGAAGTAACATTACCCATTACTTATTACAAATTATTTTTTCAGTAAATAAACGCATAATGGTGCAAGTGACTTATATACATAAAGTGACTTTCTCAAGACTTTAGCACATTCTCAGTGTTTAACTGCTTATCGTTACAGTCATAAAGAATGCAACATCATTATCAAATTGTTGTTATAATAAGTAATGGAATAGTAGTGATAACATTTCTATTCTCTGACATTTTCACAAAAATATATTCTTATATATTTATACCCAAAAAAAACTTAAAATTTTTAATTACAAATAGATCTGCCATATTGGTATAATTAATTTTATACATCAACACATTTGTTTCTAACCCAACGCTACTTGACGCCAAGTCACACAATAAAACGTCATTATGACATACCTGTAATTGTGCCGGTGACTTGAGTGCCATTTTTTAATTCTATCGTTACAGTCTCATGACTGAGTTTCATCAAAAATCTGCAAAAACAACATTAATCTTTGAAGAAATATCAGTGTTTTCGCGCAAAAACGTTTAAAGTATAGGTTAGGGTGCACGCATGGAATCATTTGCAGTTCTCACGGAAATCATATACGTACATAATTCATTACATGCATAGAAAATTCCTTTTGTTATGTTTTTTTTTATTAATATAATTTCTCACGTACCTTACTAGCTTCATAATATGGCTAGATTATCTACTTCACAAGCGAAACGGTTTATCGATACCACCGGCGAATTGTTGCATCATAATGTAAGAGTATTAAGAAGGTGTATGGTGGAAGCAGAGAGAAATCTAAGAGAGGACATGACGGCCCAAAACCTGTAACCGCAAAATGTTGCCGCGCACTACTGACCCCTGACAAAGTGGATATAAACTACATAACTCTGAGGGTAATACGTTCACTTTTCAACTTCAGATGATAAATCGACTTGGTTCATATAATCGTGCTACATTAACAAAGTGTATATCAGAAATATTCATCTCTGCAATCTTACATGCGCGTGATGTTTATTTCGCTTAAAAGTATTAACATTAAGGTTATATTATATTTTTACAAATATATTTATATTTTAAATAAGCTGTATACATATGAAGTAAAGGGATGCTGGAGTGTCCTGTTTTACCATTAATTATTGAAGACTCTTTTCTCTTAATTATGTTTATAGATTAAAAAATCCTTCTCCACAATTAAAGTATCGACAACAACACAATTCGCCAGCTACAATTGAATACGAAGGATAATTGAAGACTTACAGTTTTGTTATCGGTTTCTGTAATCAATACGTCACAATATGTGCTGCATATAAGGTTTCAGATCTTGCATGTTCATAAAAGTAGCTGGCGAATTGCAAAAAACCTGAAAGAACAATCCCATGCTTTTAGAAACGAAGTAAGGACTTTAATATAAAAGAAAAGAGTCGTCGAAAATTTCGTTTGTACATTATGAGTGAAATTGACGTGAAGCCATTAAACCGAGTAGTTTCTAACTATTTTAGTTCCGATATTCCGATAGTGGCGCTGTCATGGAAAATGCGTCACTGAATCATAGAAATGATTTGAATTACCTACTACAGGCTCAAAAAAATGTTCTTACGTGCCCTAGTCAAAGTTTTTTCTTTTGAGAGGAAAGATAATAATAAAATAAATATAATGTTAGTTATTTCAATTTTAAATTTGAAATAATTTCTTCATAAATAAGAAATGTACCATATTATTTACATATGAATACCAATGAAGATAATTATTTTAATTGCACTATTCTGTCTTTTACATATATTTTATTTAGTAAATTATTGTTGCATATATATAAAATATATATATGTATGTGTATATATGTGTATATATGTATATGTATGTGTATATATAAAATAATCATACATACACACACGCGTTTTATGGATGTTTCGATTGAGCTTCGATTCTGCTCGGATGTCGGAACGACAAGCTGCAATCTCGTAACAGATGTAGCGTATAAATGAAATTTTCGAATACTCATTGCTCTTATACTAAAGCTCATAATTCGTTTTTGCAAGCATAGTATTGTTCTTTGAGATTTTCTGTAAATCGCCAGCTACTTATTTTAAACGTATAAAGTCTGAAATAATTGTACACAGCACATTTTTGACTCGACTCGGATATCGAAGTGTCGACTTAGTAAGAAGGGCCATTCTTCTTATCGGTCGCACGCAAACAAAGTACCGCTTATAATAGATTGAATCATTGTATAAACCAGTAATATATTATCAGCTGGAAACGCCATAATAATGATATATATTTATAAGCCATAATAATAATATATATAATAATTATTATATATAGAAATATATAAATCAAGATCGTTGTTTAGAAAAGGAATCGTGCATCCTTGTCGCATCGGAGATAATGCTAAACCAGAATCAATAAAAATCACATTCTTGAATTGCAGAACGAATTATCGAAACAGAAGTATAACAGAGTGAGACAGAGAAAAAACAAAAAAGGATAGAAGCTTCGATAGTAATCGATGAGGTTTCGTACGCCGATTATATAAATATCTGAAAGAAAAGAGAACGAAAGCTTATATGGCGTTACAAGAGTCTTTCTCTTATTCCAAATGGCTCTCTTTAGCAGAAATTACGTTGACATCAATTCATGTATTTAACAGGCGGCGGGCAGGAGAAATAGAAAGAACACTTATTGAAGACTTTGAAACTTACGAAAAAATAAGTAAAGATATGAATAGCGATATTTATAACGCATTATCAAAAGGAGATAAGGAAATTGCAGAAAAATATGTAAGATTTCTAATACGCGGAAAATTGGGACGTACTGTGCCAGTTTTATAATATTATCAAACGAGTTATTCCAATATGTAATTTTAACTTTAAAGTTGCGAAAAGAAGCGAACGTACTAAGCCAAAATCTATACATCTTTGCTCTGGTTTTAATAAAGATATAAATATCTTAAAGTTTACGTTGTAATGCGCAAATTTTCAAAAAAATGCAACGCAAGTTATCCTGCAACTTTGCGTGGTACAACATTGAAGAAACATATAGCGACGTATTGTATTCAACTCAATCTAAATGATGTTGAAATTTCGGATCTGGCTGAATTTATGGATCATAAAGGTAAAATACATAAGAAAAATTATCGTCAACCACAAGCAAGCAGAGATTTTCAAAATTTCAATATTTAGAAGAAGTTCAAGGAGCTACACAAGATTCTAATACCGAGTCTTCAAAAGAAGAAGTCGAAACAAGTATTAACAATTCTCGTAACATGAGTTAATGATACCAGTAATGATACTATGAAACGTAAGAGGAATTGATGTTTTTATTAATATATACATTAATATTTTAACCTTTCGTCGGGCGCGGTGTATCAAATTGATCATATTAACTATTTTGTTAAATACTATACTATAATTTTATCAAAATATTAAATTTTAAGTAAAAAATATTAAATTTTAAGTAAATTTTATTTGCAAAAAGAAGGAAAAAGGTAATATAAGGCCATAATAATAATACAAATGTAATGTGTAAACAAAACATGTGCATCACTCATTGTCAGTCGCCCGACGGAAGTTAATTAAAAATTAGAGTAAAAATGCTTGTATATTTTTAAAAAATTAAACAAAATCGAGGCTTATTTTGAGCTTATAAATAGAATAAAACTTATATGTAGTACTTATACAAATGTGTAGTATAATATATTATATTAGTATTTATATTCTTATGCTAATTGTATTTATTTAAGTATTCTATTTACAATATAAACTCGAAATAAGCCACGATTTTGTTTAATTAATTATTATAGATAAAAGTAGTATAAAAACAATTTTATTTTATACAGTATATTTTTTGTTGTGTACAATTTTTGTATTCTCAGATATTTTTTAAAATAGTAATATAAATTTAAAATAGTAATATAAATTATTTATTTCAGATATATCCTCGTCACAGAATTTTTTACATCAAATCAAGACAATAAAAAAATCAACACAATAAACGCAAAAGATCTAGTGAGTTTTATGCTATTTTTATATACGGTTTGCGCTATCACATAAAATACATATTATTATTCTACAATAAAAACAGCCTATTCCCAGATAACATACATGTTGCATAAGATATCTAAAAGATATCTTTTAGATATCTTTTAGACATAAGATATCGAAAAGATATCTTATGATTCGGCTGAGTCCTCCGATTCGAAAGTTGGCAGAACACAGTCCCCAAGGGACAAACCACTGCTTACTCACTAAAAACCTACGGTTCTTAGCTCCGGACATATGATACGGCACCGCGAACGTGTGGAGCAAACTTCCGCGCCTGCCACGAAACGAACCTCGAACACACACATCTCGCATATATGGAAACGAAGTCCCTTGCTCAACACACGCACACACAGAGACACAGCACACACAATCTCATTCACAAATCACTATAGGCCTTTAGTCAAGGCCTTCTTGTATAGGCCTTCTTGTTTAGGGTAGGGACAAGCATGTTAAATTTTCATTAAAATAAAGGATAAAATGATTTGCATGCTTACAACACAGAATTTGTTAATATTAATCTTTTCAATTTTAATATTAGGTATTCTGGTCAGTTAAAACTAACTGAAACACTTAATATCTTCTCAATATTAGGAAAAAGTCATCGATACCGACATAGGTCTTCTAAAGTGACACCTTCTTATTTCTCAGAAATTAACTTTTGCACCTTATTATTACTAATAAAAACGTGACTAATATAAACGTCTGTTTAGCTAATTAAAGAAGTACAAACTCATAATTCATATATTTGTGGCTTATTTCTATACCAAATCAGCTAAAAACAAATACTGCGAATCCGAGAAGAAAATTTTTACAATCTTTTTATGCAAATTGCATAGTTTAAATAATAGTGACTGTATTATTGATAATATTGTCATTTTAAATGTTTATAGTTTCATAAATTAGTTTTCTTTATAGAATAGGATATATCTTTATCCTATAGAATAGAAATATAGGCATTACTGCCTATTTTTGGAGCCCACTTTGTCAGACCTTCATTTTTATTTATTTTATGAAAAACTTAATTATTACAAAATTGCAAACACTATTACAAAAACTGCTTATACTATCTAATAGAAGACACTTTTTAGTTTGTACTTATGTTTTTGAAGTTATATTTTTACCTTTTGTTTAAGAAATATTGTCTAAAAATAAAGTGGTATCGGTGACCTTCCCTTACTATCTGATATGAATATCTGTGAAAATAAATAAAAGAAGAAAATATCTTAAATTTTAAACGTATTTTTTATTGATTTAATCTATTTTACATTAAAGAAATTAAAATCAAAGAGCAACCATTATATACTAGATGAATTATTTTCTAATATTGTTTCTCTTTAGCGTCTCCCTATGGAAAAACTAAAAGACTACGCTGGACTGAAAAAGAAAAAAAAGCGGTGCTCGAAGCGTTTGCTAAATATATGGAAAATCTTAATCTTCCGTCATTAAAAGAAATTCAAGAAATAAAAAGACTTTATACTGTATTGGCTAATCGGACGTTACCCCAAATCAAAACATGGTTCCATAACAAACAGAAAACTTTGAAACATATGTGAGCATATTATTTCAATAAATTTTATCTTACAAATGTTTTAACTTATTTGTTTATACAATTGAATATTTCAGAATAAAATTACGTTTTATAGTATATCTATTTTTTAATAAGTTGGACTCAAGATCTGTATGAAATGATTTTAATAATCAGGAACTACTCTAACGATCTGAGTCACAGAACTTGTCAACTTTCCATATT